GGATTCGGGGTTGAGAAGGGCTGGTGACTTTGTCACGAAGTGCACCGGTGACCCCCTTACTGACCCCGTCTCCTCTCCTGCGACCCTGTCCTCTTTCCTGCTGCCCCGTCTGCCGTGGCTCTGCCTGTGTCAGCTCCTTGTACAAAGCTTCACTCAGCTTCTCCTGTACAAACTCCTCACAAATAGGTAATTACCTAATGCTTTACGTTGCGTAGTTTGTTTCTGATTTTCCTTAATATCCCAGTGGTCTATGAGTAAGCATCATCCCTGCTGTGCAACGGGAGATCTAACTGTGCAGCTGCTTGCACAGGAGCACGTGGTGAGCAAGAATAAGTGCAAACTTTCCAGTTGTTATTCCTCCAGAGCTTGCTTCCCTCCCGAGCAAGAGCAGCGCTTTGGCCTCATCTTTAAGCCCTTGTGCATTTGTGTACCTACATGTCGACTCGTGACTCAACTCCTTTTTGATGCCTGGAGAGAGAGACGCTGTCTGAGCCATGATTAAGCAGTAGGCTTGATGCCACTCACCATGCAACGTAACCGTATTCCCCGCCGGCCCGTGACTTGACCTTAGCGGTGCCGTGCGCCTGCACTGAGACATCTTGCTTTAAAACCCTGCTGTGTTTTACCGGGCTGCTGAAATCTGGACTGGTAAAACAGCGGTATATGGATATTGGAAAGAGGCTGTGCAACTCACAGTAGGCACTGGGTAATCGCTGAAGTTCACAGAGTGGGAATTATCGGTGAAATGTTGATGATTTGTGCTTTGCTCTGCGTGACGCAGCCGAGCCTGACAGTCCCTCAAGCCTGGCAGGCTTGGCTCTGCCCCGTCCCGTCGGCAGCGGTGCGACTCTGGCCTCAGCCCCCCGAAACACGGCTTGGGGCTGATGAGGGGCAAAGAGTACGTTTTGGTGGTGCCTAAGGGACTGGCCTTCTGTTTGTGCGCGTCGTGCAAATATTGAGGAGGTGATTAAAAAAACCTGAACCGATCCTGCTCACATGAATGGATGCTAACTGTTTTAACTGCTACTTGTTTGTTAAGCTTCGTATCTCTTTGACCTTTGTTTCAATAGGTTTTATATCTTCTGTCTTATTCTCTCTCTCGCTTTCTAATCCGAAAAGCTGTTGCAAAGGTTATTATTTCGAAAGTGCTTTGTACACCTTTAGGGTTTTTTTTAAGAATACAGAACTCAAACAAGGAAGGAAAAGACATGAACTAATTCATTTTCTTGGTTTGTTTCTAAGCATCGGACTTTATCATTGTCTCAATACATAGTTTTCCAGGAAACATCACAGCCAGACTATGTCTAGCAGGATTTCCCTCACTGAACAGCTTTAATCCATTACCTGGGGTGCCAAAGGCCAGGCTGCCCCAGATAAGCACCGCATAGGCACTTGGGTGGCTTCACAGAGTCAGCCAAGGTTGACCACAGCTGACACGGAGCTACAGCTAAGTCCCCTGCACTCTTGACTTGTCCTTCATAGTTCTCTACATCTCCTACTCGAGCTACTCCCACTCTGGAAAGTTTATTAGTGCTGGAGAAATACTAGACTTGAGATGAGCGTGCACGTGCCCTGCTTTGGTACAGGAAGAGGGGAGTCGGGGCCAGGATCCCCAAAGCTTCCTTCAGCAGCATCTCGGATACCCCCAGGCTTCCTGGCTCTGGCTGGCTCTGTGCTGGGCTGCTCGCCTTCCTTACAGATATTTCTGATCTAGGCACAGCGCTGGAAAACCCTGAGCTGCTTCTGGACACATCCAGCTCCAGGGCAGGGTACACTGGGGCGGAGTGCTGCACTGCGCAAAAGCCGCTGAATTACTGCTCGGAACAAACTGCCTCTGGATGCTGCGCAGCTGTATTCCCTGGTGCCGTGTCTTAGCTGCCAAGTCTAACGCGATTCGAGCTGGTTTGTGTTGAACCAACTCTGGCGTAAAATACTGTCCTGTGACTGTTTAGAGGAAAAACTCTAGGAAGCTAATCTCGGCTTGTTTGTTGGTTTATTGTACAACATTGGGCAAATAACTTAATCTCTCTATCTCTATTTACCCCGTGTATATGAGGTTTTATAATCCTGAAAAAAACGTGGTGAATGTCATTGTTCATAAAGTGCTTTGAACCTTATTTTTAAAATAATAGAAATAGGAGGGGAAGAAGGAAAAACATTTAGTATCTTAATCTTAATTTTTTTCCATGGATTTGTTTCTAAACACATGATTTTTTAAAAAAAAAAAAAAGAATGTGAACTGCTAGTTCACACAAGCAAACAAATCTACTGTTTGGAATTTTTTTTTTCTGGCTGTGTTAGGCTCTCAGTGGGAGCAGCGATTGTATCATCATCTGCTTGAGAATTTACAATTACGTTACCAAGTATCCAGGCAGGGATTTTCAGTCGTGCTGTACACAAATCGCACACTTGAGCAGCATGACGGGTCATCGTCATTAACCTTATTTCTGCAAAGGAGACTTCCTCGTGGCGGTGAGTGCACGCTGCCTGAATGCCGTCGGCTGATTTCTTCTGGTGAAATCGTCAGCGTGGCCCACATTTGTGAACTTACTACATGTTTGCAAACTGATACAGGGGCAGTTTCATCAGTTTTAGCTGCTGAAAATCAACAATATTACCGTGTCCTGCTTGATGCGGTCAGGGCATAAACATACACAATGTTGACTAAGAAATGTACATCAACATCTTTTGAGGATTAATTTTGTTGATCTCTCAATTAGGATGCTATTAGTTTTTTTCTCCCTCAGCAAAGTTTTGATGCTTCTTTTAAAAACAAAAAATAAAAATCTTCTAGGGGTGACCCATCCAACAAGAGGCAGCCAGTTGAGGTTCCTGTGCTGGGAATTCAGGTTTAAAACCTTCCTCTCAAACCGAAAGCACATCAGGGTGTCTCACAGGTATCTCATGTATGTGTCCTGACATCTGGGATTAAAAGACTGTCTCTCCAGCCCATAGTTCCCTTCTTATGATTAATGGTCTCCAACATCCCCAAACTGGGAGCCCAGAAGAACCGTTACAGGGAAGACGCTGCAGCTTTATGCTTACAATATATAACCTGGTACATGGGAGATGCATCTTCAGGTTCCTCTTCTGAACAGAGTAGCAATTTCAGCCTGGGCCTCCAGCTGACTATGGTGGTGTCAATCTTCCTTTATGTTTAATGCAAAATTTTGTCCTGAGAAGCCCTTGCCTTAAATTTTGTCCAAATGGACATGTCTTCTCACACACACAGGTTGTAGTTGATGAATGAATCCCTAACCAAGCCCAGTAACGAATCCCTGCAGGAGATGCTGCTGGGTTTTCCCAGAAAACAAATGCTCTGTGTGAAGCTTTCTTGCAGTAACTGGTGTTAGCGATCCTTGGTTATCTCCATGCAGATCCTGTGCTCACTCCCGGACCCGCACCTGTGAGCTGCAGGGATCAGAGCCTGGGCTCCATGGGTGGGAAACTCTGGGTGACACATCCTGTGTCGGTTGAGGGAGGTTGCAAACATTTCCATCCTTGGAGATACTCTAACTCAGCTGGCTGAGGTCCTCAACAGCCTGGTCTAACTGATCCTGTTTCAAGAGAAGGTTGGAGCTGCAGTGGTCCCTTCTGACCTAATTCATCTACTAACCCAAGATGATTCTTATTGAGATTTCCACCTCTTTTGCAAATGGACGGACTTGCCCTCATACTGGCTGTTTTTTCGTGATGCATCATGCAGCACTGCCACATTTATGCTGTCAAGCATGCAGTGGTACAAATGGCCTTGTTTGTTGATGTCTCTGATGTTTCTGTACAGATGCCGTACCAATTCTTGGACTGACAGACCCAAGACTCTGCTACTTACTGGATGGATTCCTCTTCATTTACGCAGTCGTCATAACAGCCCTTTTTGTGAAAGCAAAGGTCAGTCTATCCAAACACTGATGTGTTTGACTTTGGTGGTGTAAACAAGTTGGGCTTAGCTGGAAAGTGGAGGTGGAGAGGAAGCACGTCTCTTATTCTAAGACCTTTTTATTTTTTTATTTCCTCTCTTTTTTTCTTTTTTTTTTTTTTTACTTTCCTCCTCTTCTGGTGCCAACCTGAGCAATATTGGGGAGTTGTCTCTTTAGGGCTTATGAAGATACTACAGTTATGGATCCAGTCAGAAATTCTGGATATCGTAGCTGGGAAATGCCTGAGCAACAGTGATGTGGTTTCTTCTGCTACTTTGTCATTGGAAAGAGAGGAGGGGATATACAGAAAATTCAGGATAGGTGCCAAGCTTGTGGAGGATGTACTAAAACATCTCGAGAAGTCAGATATCTTTGATAGTATGATGCAAATGATGTAACCCCAACAACCAAAGGAGAGGAGTCAGGGAGATGGGATGGACACAGCTTGTTCAGCATCTAAGGAGACACTTAGTGGCTTTAGCGCACTTCCACGGAAAAAGATAACATAATGTGATTGAGTCATATACGTCATGAGCACTTACACGTTTCCAGACGTGTAAGTGCTCTGAGAGCTCTGCTAATCATAGAAGAGGAGCTGGCTGCCTCTCTCTGGCACAGGGCACTCCAATGCAATGGTGTTTTCAGCCAAGCAAAAGGTGTCTTGGCCACTGTTTGTACATCTGGGTCAACATCCCTCCAGAAGCAAAGGCTCGCTGCACTTGGAATCTTGGCTTGCTTCTTCACTCTGAGGGTGGTGAGACACTGTAACACGTTGCCCAGAGAAGTTGTGGATGCGCATCCCTGGAAGCGTTCAAGGCCAGGTTGGATGGGGCTTTGAGCAACCTGATCTAGCGGAAGGTGTTCCTGCCCATGGCAGGGGAGTTGGAACTAGATGATCTTTGAGGTCACATCCAACCCAAACCATTTTGTGATTGATTCTTGCCAGGTTATGGCTGAGATCACCAGCAGGAGCCCTGACAGGATGATGTGCTGCTGGTGCCCCACCAGCTCTTTGGTGAGATCACTTCTCAGGACTGCAAAGGCAGTGCTGAACACAGAGGGAGGGAGAGATGTTTGGAGGAAATGAGCAGAACATGGTCATGGTGAAGGAGGAACCTTTTCTGTCGCTGGTATAAATCCTGACCACAGATGAAAGTGCCGCTTTGGGACTGGAAGACTTTTTGAGGCTGCCAGAGGGACGAGCCGGTGGGGCACACAGAGCGTGCACCGTACATGCCAGTGGGAGCTGGGCGCCTCACCCAGTGCGGGGTGAGAGCGCTGTGGTTAAGGAGGGCTCAGCAAACCATCCAAGGAGCAGTGTGAGCCTCAGCGTGCTCACCAGCTGCTTGTCCTCCTCCACCCAGAGCGTGTCTTAAGCGTGCTGCTGCGGGGGCAGAAACGCCTGCGGTTCCTCCCGCTGGGGCTCCCAGCAGGGCCAGAGCTGGAGCTGGAAGCAGCTCCCAGGTGGAGGCAGTCGCCCTCACCTCGAGGTCTGGGAGCGCTCGCTGTCCTCCTGGCGCACCCTGGCTGGTGGCTGGTAACGCCCACAGCGTTGGGCTGCTGCCTGAGGGAAGGCAGCAGAAGGAAGGGGGAAGCCATGCCTGTGGTTATGCTGGAGTCTCGCAGCCAAAAGCAGCAGAGGTGTTGCAGCCGAAACGCCACCATAAAGCACCAAGCAGCTGGTGGGGTGTTTCCCGAGGGCTCTCTGTCTCGTCCTAAACCTAGGAGTTTATAAATCTTGCAAGCTGTGTCATATCTCGAACTTCACCTCCTGGCTGAAGGAGTTGTTGGTGGAGGCTTTTGCCAAGGGCACAGCCTCGTTGCTGAGGTGATCTTTTTATTTATGGACCACGTGGAACGTTTAGGTTCCATTGCAAGAAATGTGGGTTAGATGCTTGGTAAATTACTGGCCTCACCAAAGGATCAGTGGTGATAATGGTGCTTTCATGGGAAAAGCAATGGGGTAAGTAACTCACAGATACTACAGGTATGATTTTAAAAAACAAAGTCAGTTTTATCCCATGCCTAAAACCAATCCCATCTAGAACATGGCTTTTAATAAAGATTTTAACATTTGATACTAATTCAAGAACATTAAAGCAATACAGAATATAATTTGACACTGTTTTTTGGAAGGACTGGAACACAAAATAGCTGTTCTTTGTGGTCTAAACCCACCCTTTTTTCCTGAAAGTTTGGCTCAGCAATTACCTGCATATAAATACTGTGAGGAGCGGAGCCAAAGAGCACCTACAGAAGGGAAATCCTTTACCTACTCGTTAGCTGCCACCCATGCCAGCTTACCACGGTGGCACCGCAGCTCCACGCGCCAGGTGCCGCTCCCAAGGGGTGCGGGGGTCCCCTGTGCCCTCTGAAGCTGAGGACACCCAGGAACTTTGAAGGCAGCACTTTTGCTGGAGGACTGGGGTCTCGAGGGCTGCGTTTGGTTGTCAGCAGCCCCAGATACGCAGTTTTTCTTAACACAGGCTGCAGTTATGACTTTGTAGGCTGATGGAGCTACTTTCAATAGCACAGGATTATGATATGCACAGAACAGGAACGCAAAAACGAGAGGGTGAGGTGGGAACCAAACCACAGATGCTCTGAGTAGCAGTGAACTGGTGTTATGTGCAAGTAAACTGGCCTGGCTGCTGAGTGCAGCAGTGGCTTGTATTGCTTCTGTAGCCCTATCGGTGCCACAGGTTGGCTGCTTATGAGTTGCCTTGTTTCTGACGAGAGGAACTTCTAGGAGAGAGGGAATGCAAGGACTGGACTAAGCCACTGTCTTTTCTGCTCATGGTATGGTCTCTTTTCCAGCTTAGCCAGACCTCTGAACCACAGCTGCAACCAGGCCAGGATGATGTGTATAATGTAAGTAACTACTGGTTTTCGTTTGTTTGTTTTCAAATCTGCTACCCAGATGGACCTTTTCTGGGCACTTAGAGTGAGTGAATTGCCAGCGGATCAGAAAACCTTGATGACCCAGCTAACAAAAGCGATATACCCGAGTGTGCAGCACAGAAGCTGTAGGGAGGAAAATATAAAACCTGACGAGGGCAGGTTCTGTTGTCATGTCCTGTCTGGACATGATCCTGTCTGTCCTTCCTAGCTAAATTGCTCACTCATGGCAGCATTAAACTCTAGCTATTTTTGCTATGTCTAGTTGTCTTTTGGTTTTAATTTTTTTTTTCTCTCACGCTTTTGACCATAGCCACATCCTGTGATGAGTTCTACTGTTTAACTGTGTAATGTATGAACACAAATGCATTTTTTGCAGTTTAAGAAGTGTTGCCTGTCACCTTTTCAGTAACGCTCTGTCAGCTGTCTTATTCTGACCTGAAATCTCTCCTTTGCCCTCTGCCAAGGTAACCTTTCCCAGATCAGAAATGTGTTGTGCATAAAACTTCTACAGCCACTTGATGCAAATTTAGACGAGCTGTTCTGCAAGAAAAACCAAGCTCGTGGATCTTCACCCACCAGTGGGAGAGAAAGCACGAAAGTCAACGTCGCTCCCCCTTGCATGCTCTCATTGTCAGCTCATTTCTACTTAAGAAGGGTTCTTGATGCAACGGCTTGCAGTTTTGTGCCGCGCAAACCACTTGTTGTCATTTCCATGGCTTAATCATAGAAACGTTTGTTGACAGTTGCATTAAGGAGTAAAATGATTTCTGGCTCTGTTATAACACTCATGAAGTTGGACACCAAACTGGGTTCCCTTTCTTTTCCTGTGTTAAGTCAAGATCTATTTTCTCATGACCAGACCGTCCATCACTGCTTCTTGCTTTCTTGTTTCAGAAACTGTCTCGTGGACGCCGAGATGAATACGACGTTCTGGGGGCAAAGCGAGGTGGAGACCCTGAGCTGGGTGGGAGACAGCAGGTAACTTCTTCCCACGCATGCACCTCTTTTCTTTTAGTCTGGTTCCTTCTTTCTCCTGTCTAACCGCTGGTTAGACATGCAGGCACTCATCACGTGTTTGCTAAGCACCAGTGCCTTCCTGGAGAGAGAACGGCAAAATCTCTGTAGTAACTCGGGTGGCTTGCAGCGTGGTGGGGACAAGAGTAAACTTTCCCCCTTCCACTTTGATCTTTGCCCCTCGTGCCCCCTGTCACTTTTCTGAGAGCTTGCAGCCACCCAGAATAGGAAGTGACACCCAGCCATGGGGCGGATGTGGAGCAGGCAGGGCAGGAGTGGGTGTTTCACGAGAGCTCACTGCGTGTGATGCCGCCAAACAAGCGCCGACAAAGCAAAGCAGCAGCCAAAACAACTGTTTCTGCTGCAGAGCCCAACAGTTTCAAAGGAAAAGGGAGGGGAAACCTTCTGCATTGGCACGTAGGGCTTGCCTGCAGGTGGCAGCTGTAGGGATTGAGCAGAGAAGAGCTGAGTTTTATCACTTATTAAAATTAAATTAATTTTCCAGTGAACAAGTTGTCTTATCAGAGACTTATCGATGGAGGCAAGATGGGCTGTAACAGGCACAGCACGTCCACAGAACTGTAGCTGTGTGCCCTAGTTTCAGCTTAGGGCAAATGCACAGGCACACAGAAGGTGGTGTGGGATGCTGGTAGTGCAACATGTGGGCAACTTTCCTCTTTTGTTTTACAGCAGAGAAGAAAGAACCCTCAGGACACCGTCTACACTGTGAGTAGAGAGAGTTAGAGAGTAAGGAGTGGGAGGGATGCCTGGAAGTAGGAGTTTCTATTTCATGGGAGACTTCATGCCTACCTGATTTCAGCTTTGCTTCAAACTTAACAGCTGCTTTCAAAGACTTCTCTTCCCTTCTACCCTTTTTTTTTTTTTCTAGAAAATTTCTGTTACTTTCTCTGCAATAGGAGAAAAACATTGGCAGACGGGGAAAAGAATTTGGATCGAGATACCTGTTGATCCCTTTATGTTAGCCATTAGTGACTTCATCCCATGTGACTGATGCTGCAGTATTTTATGTGCTTGTTCTCCAGCCTCTCTGACAGCATTCTGACAAAGGCCAAATGCCAGTGCATCTAAGAGTGGCTGCTTAGGAGCCTCTTGATTTAATTGATTTAATGCTGGCTAAATTTGATGGTCTGTGCTCCAAAGGATGGATACATGGATGGATGCCAAAGCTCATGTCTTAACTCAGTTCTTTCTGGGTGTTCAGAGCTTGCTGAGAAATGAGCTTGTTTCCAAGACTGGCCTTCATTGTTATTGAGTCAGACGCTCTGATCACAGATGGTTATGAGCATTTGGGAACTGCTTCTCGGATGAAGGAAGAGCTCCTCTTTCTTAACCTTCACCCTGCAGCGTTAGACTTCCCTTCTGTCTGGGCCTGAGCTGCATGGTCAGGTTTGTCTCCTGAACAAATGCTGCTTAAAGCTTTTCTTTGGAGAGCTTTGATTGTAGTATGTGGTGCCAGTCTAGATAAATGATTTGGTTGAGGGTAGAGTTACATTCATTTAAGTGTTTGAGAAATGAGGTGGTACTGATAGGCTAAGCAGATTCGATCATGTGTAGCATCTACTTAAATGCACATCGGTCAAGTCCCACCACTGTCCCTTCTCTGGAATACAGTGCTGAAGTTTTGAAGGCAAGGCAGCCCCAGCAGCACAGACGTGGAGTGCAGTCACCCAGAGGCTGCCTTGGCTTCTCTAGTAACATGCTGATTCTTTCCCCTCTCTGCTTGCAGTCCCTGCAGAAGGACAAGATGGGCGAGGCATACAGTGAAATCGGAATGAAGGGGGAGGTGAGTCCTACTTGCCTTCCTGGCGAAAGCCTGGAATGACAAATTCTTCATTGCCGCTCCCTTACAGAGCAGTAGCCCCGGCTGCACGTAGCTGCCTTGCTCAGGGAAGTCCCAGTGTTGCACAGCACCTGCAGGCACAGCTGAGAGCAGTGACCTATTTCCTGTAGTACCTGGTGTGTTTGGTGAAGCAGTAAATAAGGCACGGATCTACAAGGGCTACAGTAGCCATAAAACACGATGGAGAGTGGAGAGTAAGCTTTGTCCCGTCAGTATTGGAAACCCAGCAGCGTCCCTGGGCAGACTGAACAATGTCAAAGGAAAACATTTCAAGTTTTGGACAGAAAAATTCTGATGGCTGTCCCAGCTGAGGTGGCAGAGGGTAGGAGATGGCTGAGGAACAGTTGAAGGAAATGTCTGGTTTCAAGCGCTTCGGCGTTTGTGGCCCAGCAGCTCTCAGCAGTTGAGCACTTTCCTCCAGAGCAATTCGGAGCTGGAGGCTCACAGTTTCCCCTTTAGGGGCGATGGAGGCTGGTCTGCTGTATAGGCACAAGTTAGCAAGCTCCTCCTTGTGCCTTTCTTCAGACAAGTAATGAGGGAAACTCGTTACTGTTCAGCCTGGAGAAGAGAAGGCTCCGGTGTGATCCTATAGCAGCCTTCCAGTACTTAAACGGGGCCTACAGGAAAGCTGGAGAGGGACTTTTTCCAAGGGCGTGTAGTATAGGACAAGGGGCAATGGCTTTAAACTGAAAGAGGGGAGATTTAGATTAGATATAAGGAAGAAATTTTTCACTCAGAGGGTGGTGAGGCACTGGAACAGGTTGCCCAGAGAAGTTGTAGGTGTCTCATCCCTGGAAGTGTTCAAGGCCAGGTTGGATGAGGCTTTGGGCAACCTGGTGTAGTGGAGGGTGTCCCTGCCCATGGCAGGGGGGTTGGAACTAGATGATGTTTGAGGTCCCTTCCAACCCTAACCATTCTATGATTCTATGAAACATTTCCTTCCTCCGCCTCTGCTCTCAAATATTTAAGAAGGAATACATCAGTTATGTCTAAAGCCAGCAGCAAATGCATGGTTTTAGCTCTGTGCACCAGCTGCTGGGAGAAATGTGTTGAAAAGAAACCGTCTGGGGACACTTATTTATGGCAAAATGAAAAATTGCTGTGACCTACACAGGTTCTATTTTATGCCAAAGAAGTGTCTTTATATATAACCTTTCATTTCCCTCTGAAAAGTGAAAAAAGGGCATTTCAAAACAAAGTTTGGCATTGAGAAACACTGAAGAACACCAACATTTAATCCTCTTCCCTTTTTTATTATTTGAATGCCCTTCTGCCATAGTCGAGCTCAGTTTACAAGCTATGGGTTTATGAAGTCTCACTGTGTTTTTATGAATGTTTCTGTTACTGGGGGGATGAAACAGGAACGCCAAAACCCTCACCTCATTCTAGATGCACATCGGTTAGCAGGCTGCTGCAACTTCAGTGGTGGCAGGCACTGCTCCATGTTTGGGATACAGTCGGAACTCTGCTGCTGCAGGGCAGTTATGACCAGCCACAGGTGTGACATGCCAGCCCCCGCCCGGGGGCCATGAGCTCTGCTGTCCCCGTGTCTCACCTGGTAGTCACACTCTCATGCACAACTTGGCTGCTGTGCCTGGCGGCTCCCATACCCCTGGGAACGCAGCAGCAAGCGGGTTCAAGCAGGTTTTTCTTTGTACCTGGCTGGTCTGAGTGACCTTGTTTGCGTCCTCTGCTTGTACCGTGACAGTCCCAGTGCCTGTTTCCCTGAATCCTGCGGGACTTTGTCCTCAGACAGCCTTCTCTGCAGTGCCTTTGAAAGGCGTGCTGGAGAATTTACTTACTTCTCAATGTCTTGCCAAACAGAGGGCTGGGTCCCTCAGACACCAGCTGACATGCAGCAACTCAAAAAACATAGCCCTGTTTCTCCCAGGGTGCCTTCAGCCCATAAAATAATCAGGGTCTATAGGAATGCTGCCAAGTCTCAATACATACAGTAAATCAAAGAAACAGTAGCATCATAACAGTATGACAGGAAAATATGTCAGCAAACCAAAATAATTCCAGTTTCACTATTTTCTCCTCCCACAGCCCTCGCAGCGTGTCTGGGCTGGTCCAGACCTAGCAGGTGCTTTCCCTCCGGCACAGAGGGTGTCCAGGGCAAGCGCAGCTGCTGACCCTCAGTACGGGATGGGGGAAGTCAGTCTTTCCTTTCACATAATGGGAAAACCACTCATTAATCTCTGCTTGTTTTTCTTTCCCAAAGCAGCAGAGGCGGCGAGGCAAAGGCAACGAAGGTGTCTACCAGGTAGGCAACACATCTTGCACCTGCTCCCCTCATCTTCTTAATTGTTACACCTCTAACTGCACTGTTAGCGATGCGCGATGAAGCAGAGCTTTCATCTTTCTGAGGATAGTTACTCAGATTCAGGGCGAAGACCACACTGCTGGTACTTTGATAAAGTGGCTGCATGTTCTAATTACAACTGGCAGGAACACTTGTTTAGCTGCTGTGGTAGAACCATTTCCACAGTCCCACACCTTGGGAGAACCACCTTTTGAGTGCAGCAGATGATGCAAACAGTTGTCTCTGAATTGTTTATTGCTGAACTGGAAACCTTCAGGTTACCAAACAGCTGCCGTTAACTCAAAGCATCGGTGGTTCAGTCCATCTCACTATCCATCACATATGGAGCACAAGCTGGTCATCACCTCCAGTCCCATGGGGCACTGGAGGATTTCAGTGTCGTACACACATAATGGAGGGCAAGAAGTCTGGCAATGAGGCCTTATTTGGGCCACCATGCATAATTGTTCCAAAATCCATTTTGCTTGCTGTAGAAGCCTGTGCGTTGCCACTGATACCTCGAAATGACAAAAATAAAGTATATATAAACAAAAGTTCCTCTGATGCAGCACGTGCCAGGGAGTTTTCCTGTACTGTGGCTCAGCTGTAGCTAATGGTACCTTTCTTCAAAACCTGCTCTACTGAGATTGTCACAGGTAGCTGATAAGCAGCGCTCCCTTATCAATGAACTCAGTACGCCGCTAAACATTCATAGCAGAGGAGCGCAGGGCAGCCACACGTTTTACAAGCAAAGCACCACGTGTCTGTCTTACTAAATCCTCCCTTTTGGAAGGTCTGGTTACCTCTGCTCTGGCAGCTTCCTGGGAAGACCTGTGACGCTGCCACATCTTCTCCTGTGCCACTCTTGGAGCAGTCAGTTCCACGGCTGCAGCAGGGATCTGTAACTCACACGTCACAGCTGACCTACCCCCACCAGAGCAGACTGGCAGGAGATGGACTGCTGAGTCACAGGCAGGGGTGCCAGGGGGTGCTTCCCGGGGTTCGCAGCCATCTGAAGCCCCGCTGCCAGCTTACCTGGAGTTGCATCTGACATCCCTTCCAAATGACAGAGGAGAAGTCCAGAGAACACAGTTCATGATTTGATGCCTATTCATTTAGTTGGAAGACAAAGTTCGTTCTAGCATCACCTGACTTTTAATAGTCAATAATATGCAAATAAAATGTACTCTAGAGCTCTGCATCACCAATTAGGATGAGCTGCTGTAGTCGTACATTCACAGCAGTTATTCAGGATGCATCTTGTCTTCAGGTAAGTGGTTGCCATTGACACCATACAAAGACTAAGGAAGCACTCATGAGTAAAAAACTCTGTAGGAAAAAAGGAAAAAACTACAATTATGCTACCAAGCCCCTGCTACCCTGCTCCTTACCAGTCGGCCAGGGAGAACTAAGCACCGACACTCATACCTCACCTGTCTTTCTCTTTTGCAGGGACTCAGTACAGCGACCAAGGACACTTACGATGCTCTCCAAATGCAGCCTTTGCCCCCCCGTTAAGTGGGATCACAGAGGGGATGGGCAAGAGTGAGGTGCCCACCTGCTTTGGGGAGGAGAGGAGGGAAAGCCTTGTCACCCAGAACAAGCGCTGTGTATTTTCTCAGTGCACCACCTACTTGACTTTGGTCAATACACAGAGGGAATATGTCTGGACTTGGTCAGTCCCTTCTCCCTTCCCTCCTGAATCATGTAACTGCAAGCTTTGGCTATGGAAATGTACATACCTGTAAAGTTGTTTCCAATAATAGTGGTTATTAGGCTGATTTTTGTAAGATTTGTGTTGTGGGACCAGACCACACCTACTAATGCAGCTGTTCCCATAGCTCTTACTTGCCTTCCAGGGGTATTGAGACATGTAATTATGGTTTTATTGCATTTAAAGAACTTGTAAAGACAGGGCTGTAGTTTTTTCCTGTAGTATTTATCTTAAGACTATTTGACAAAGACTAGCTAAAACTTTTTGCTTTAAATGTACCTTTTAAACCCTGCTTCAGTGGGGGATGACTTTTTTCTTTAATTGTAAAAAGTGGTGTGATGTTACTGTAGTGAGAGGCTGAGCACCGGCTTTTCAGTACGAAGAAAATGAGCACCGAGCTCCAACAAAAGATCAAGCGATGGCATTGCCACTCATCCAGCACCTGGAGCTAAGCATGAGCCAGGTAACCTGCTAAGAGGCTCTCAGAAGGTAGAAGCTACCCCTGTTACAATGAAAACAAGGAGGATGGACTCTGATAATGACAGTAACACTGGAAAAGCAGGAAAACTCACCCTGGAGAATCCCCTTTGGCTGCATGGTTTACATGAAATGTCTGCCCCCTCACATTAGCAACATCTGTAACTCTCATGGCAGAACAGGCTCCCCCTGTAAGAGCTGGTACGGTAATCCTAACGCCAGAAACAGACCAAGATGATCTCTTCTGGGCAACAGAAACTGTACGAAAGCCAGTGTAAATGCAGTTTCCAAACCAGTCTGTCCATCAGGTTACCTTTAAAAGATGATGCAGGTATCATTCCAAAGAGATACTAGTTCAGTAACGTGATGCATTTTTGATGAATTAATAAAGTTAAAATCAAAGACCTGTGTGCGTGTGCACGGTGAACAGCTGTGGGAACGGCAGGAACTCATTAGCTGGCACAGCCGGGCTGGCTGGACCCAGCAACATCATCTCCCAGGTGAGCTGAGGAGGATGGTGTTCCGATAGGAGCTTCTGAACACATCCGGGCAGGAGGGATGGGATGTTGGGAAAATGCTGTAAGCCCAAGTATAAAAAGGGACACTCACTCACCTCCTGCTGCATCTTCAGTTTGGCCAGTGACTTACAGGACTGTGCGACAAAGCCTGTAAGCAACTCGGCAAGGACAAAAACAGCCCAGCAAAATAAAGGTTATTTTAACTGGGGTCAGGAGCTGACCAGTTCATTCCCCCAGTGCCGGCCAGAGGGAGCAGAGCTAAAACAGGACTGTGGAAGAAGAGCTGCTGCCACGGGTGCTGCCCAGATGAGGTTACGTGTTTGTTTCTTAAGGGACTGGGTCAGCAGCAGAAAAACTTGCTGAAATTGCTGCTCTGTAAATGACGAGGCTGGGCCCAACTTCTGAAGCAGTAAAACTGTATCTGCAGTAAGTGCTTGTAGCTTTTGAAGAATATTTCAAAGACACCAAATTAGTGCAAAAAAAAAAAAAAGTTAACTGAGCTATCCCATGCATGGCAATGAACATTTCTTGCAAAGAACTTCCTACTGTTCTTCTGCAATGACAAGAAAAATATGAGAATTGGGTGATATCCTGAACAGCTGAGCTGAAAACTACAGTAAATTTGCTACTGCAGGGCACTCTTGTTCTTGATGCAAGAACAAAGAGTACTGAAAATAATTTTTTTTTTTTTCAATTATGATAACCAACTATACGTGCAAGATGTAGAAGTCAAAAGTTTTGGCAGTTGTAAAACACCAACCACTAAACAATGGGGAAGAAATTCTTAGGGAAATAAATCACCTTTATGCTCTTTATAGAGCAATGGATCTTGATGTCTAAAGCACCTAACGCTTGTTTCGGGGACACTCACCGTGGGTGTGAGCTGAGTCTTCTCTTTGCGTTCAGGGAGCACCTGAAGCTGTTTTTTCTTTTAGGAGAGAAGCTGATAGTACAGAAGTAGAACAAAAGCTTCAAGCAGAGTGCAAGAATACCTGGGCTCTCCTCCACTTTGACAAGACAAAGAGTATGAAAGAACAATCTTCTGTCCCAGTTTGATGCAGCAGAACTAGCCTTCCCCTGACACATTTGGAAAAAAACTACAAACAAGTGCATACATGTTAAAACACTTGGAAAATGGTTTAATGATGTTTACAACAGAAATGAACTGTACAATTACAGTAAGTTTAATATATATAAAAAATTACAGCAGACAAATGCATCTACACAAAATCTACCTTTTCATTCTGATTTACTGTAATCTACACAATCTCTCACTGCCTACAGCTATCTGTAGGCAACCACTGGGAAAATAATAATAATAATAATAATAATAATTAATAATAAAGGACATCTTTAAAGAGACAGCATTTCGCCTTCCTCCTCACCCCTAGTGTGATCAGCAAGGTTTTGAAATGTGTGGGACTCTCACATTTCAGCCTCAAGAAAAGCTTGGGTTGCGTTTGGGTGCGGGTACGCCCACATGGCCCTCGAGTTCACGTGTTCTGCTGACCTGAAGCCTGTAAATGCCGTACATGAGGAAGGGCAGGAGAAAAAACCCTCCCAGCCAGTGTAAGCAGGCAGCTGCACAGAGTGGTGAAACCGCTAAGACGGAAAATTTCTGTTATTTAGAAACGAAGCAAAAAGGGACTGCCCAGATGCTACAGACATTCACGAATCCTCGTCTCTTCGAAAACTACTGCCAGATTGAGAAGAAAGGGCTTGTTTTTCAACTCCCCATTTTTCATGCAAAGGGTTAGTTTTCAAACTAACGTGTTAAATCTTTTTGAAAAACCAAATTTAAGCTACTTCCTCTGTGGCCCATCCCTTGAAAACAGTGAAAACCCCTTTACACTGAGAAAGAACCTCAGGTCAATGGGGGAAAAAAAAAAATAGTACATGCTGTCTCTTTAAAAAGAAAGAAAGAATCCCAGTTGGGAGCGGCCGTCAGTGAAAATGCGATCCAAATTGGCGGTCTGGTGGAAATTCCTCACGGAATATTATGTACAGTTTAAAAACCCTTAGTTGTTTTTTTGTTTGGTTTTTTTTTTTTTTTTTTTTAATTTATGAACACCTAGGCAGTGAAAACTGTTATGTTAATACATACATAGACACACCCAAAACATACAAAAATACTATTATTTCAAACTACTAAGAATAGGACAAGTTCAGTTATCTCCATGCTATGACTTTAAGAGCATTACACTGAAACAAACAAGAATTTAAACGACAATTTTTTAATATCCCAGAAATATACCAAAATATACATCTAAGCTTTGGAATTACTGAGGTTAGACTAATGCAAGTGCTGGGTAATCGTACTTAATACACAAGTCTAAGGTTCTGCAGGAAAGAAATTATCTTTGGTATCTGCATCAGGCTAATAATATTAACATTTGGATTTTGCTTTGGGATAGAGCTTGTATGACCCTAGAACCAAACACCCCCCAATCAACTGAGATTAAAAAGATCCATGTAAAAAGTTCCTCCATTTGCAATCCCCCCCCAAAAAGTTAAAAAGTCACAGGCATCTACCTAGCATAAAAGGTTGAGAAATACAATGCATAGTTGCACAGTGGTGCTGCAAAAATAAAAGAAATCTAGAAAAAAGGAACTAGAGGAGAAATGAAAAGCTGCTGCTTCTTCCAGGGATTTCTCACAACAGGACAGCCTCTTCCAAGCAGTGACGGGGGGGAGGGGGGAAGCTCAGAAGTGCACCTCAGCGTGTATTAATCAACATCACCCAGCCCCCAGAGGGTTAAAGCACCCAGCAGAGCAGCCAATCCTGCACCCAAGTCTTCAGCTCCTCAACCCACCTGCGAAGCCCCCGGCCCGGCCCGGCCCCCCGGAGCGGAGCGGGGAGGTTTTTCCCGGGGCAGCCCCTGGCGCCGGGGCCCGGCCTCACAGGTGGGCTTGGTGCTGAAGACGCCCTTTGTCTTTGGTTTGTTTGTTTGTTTTGAGTTTATACAATCATTAGGAAATCTTTGGTTTTGGCTGGAAATTTTAAAAGAACAAAACGAAACAAAGAAACCGCCCCCTCCCGACGTATAGCAGCCACCGTGACCTGACAAAGCTTCTCTTTCCCAGGGGGGTAGGGGAACTACATTCAAACAAAGATGGACCGGGTTAAGGATGCAGCTTCTGGCCAGGCTGGGGAGCGGGGAAGGGATACAGGATTGTCAAATAATAAAGAAGAAAATTAAATATTTGGAGAGTTCTTCCTTTTTTTTTTTTTTTTTCCATTTTTCTGTTTTTGGTCATGTTAAACAGTGAGTAAGTCGGGTGTAGGCAGCGCCGGGCTGAGCGCGCCTGCGGGCCCTGGAGCTCAGCGCAGCCCCAGGGCGGCTGCCCCGGGGTGGGGGAAGGCAGCAGGCGGCCCTTTTCCACGGAGAGTGGAGGGGAGGGGGTGGATATTCACAGACTAATCAAGAGGACCCCTTGTAACCAAAGGAGATAGGATAAGATTGCAATTTGCCCTCACTTTGCAGTAGCTTTTCAGCAGCGACATTCAGAGGCGTTAGGGGGTCACTCCCCAGGTTGCAGGTCACGGGGTGCTATAGGCCAGAGTTCAGTGTTAACCAGAGGAGGGAGGGCAGACTTGGCAACTCTGTAGGGTTTGGAGAAAGTTAAAGCAAGTTACTCGGTTACGAGTTAGAAATGAGGTATACGACAGCTCCTGTACCTGTGGCGGATAAACACCCCACACCTACTCACACCTAGCCTTAGGTACTACCACAGAGGAAGGAAATGGAACAACAGCACTGGCGGGGACGAAGAAGCTACTGCCCAGGTCCTTCCCGCACACCGCCGGC